CATCGGAAAATTTTTCCGGCAACCTTTCCGGCCAAGATCCGTACCATTCGAAATAGAAGGAGCCGATCTACAAGTTTCAAGAAGGACCATCGGATTCTGCTAAGCCACGCGCCCCCACGCGCTAGAGAAAGGACGGAGCGTCCACCTTACGCGTTACCACACGCAACCATGTTGATTGAAAGTAAATTTCCATCCAGCAATGTAGCTCAACAAGGTATAGCGTTCCATGTTGATAATAGTAGTCAATGGATTCTTGATTCAGGGGCTTCAGATCATATGACAGGTAATGCAACCTTATTTTGTTCTTATACCCCTTACTATCAACAATCACGAATAAGAACAGCAGATGGCAACTTCTCTACTATTGCTGGAAAAGGATCCATTAAACTTTCTGAACACATTACTTTGAACTCAGTCCTTCATGTTCCCTCTCTTACTTGTAACCTTATCTCTATCAGCAAACTTACGTCTGAGTTACATTGTGTTGCCAAGTTTTCTGTCAATGCTTGTGTTTTCCAGGAACAGGACTCGGGGCTGATGATTGGCAGTGCTAGAGAGGAAGAAGGACTTTATTATTTAGAAAAAGATTCTTGTGAAGGAAAAAATTTTGTGAACCACTCGGTATGTTTGTCTGATGATTGTAATGATGTTTTGTTGTGGCATCGTCGGTTAGGACACCCAAATTTCATTTATCTTCAGAAGTTGTTCCCAAGCTTATTTATCAATAAAAATCTCAGTTCTTTTTCTTGTGATATTTGTCAGCTTGCAAAACATTCTCGTGTTTCTTATCCTCCTAGAGTCCATCATGATTCTTCTCCATTTACCTTGATTCATAGTGATATATGGGGTCCAGCCCGTGAAAAAAATATCTCTGGTGCTCGTTGGTTTATAACTTTCATAGATGATCACTCTAGGGTATGTTGGGTATACCTTCTAAAGGATAAGTCTGGCGCTGCATCCATTTTTAAAAACTTTCATGCTATGGTTCAAACTCAGTTCCAGACCTCTATCCAAATTCTTCGAACTGACAATGGTACTGAATATTTTAATTCTATTCTTGGAAACTATCTCAGCCAGCATGGTATTCTTCATCAAAGTTCTTGTCCTAACACCCCTCAACAAAATGGGGTGGCTAAAAGAAAAAATAGACATCTCCTTGAAGTTGCTCGAGCTCTTACGTTTACCATGCATGTCCCTAAATATTTGTGGGGGGAAGTTGTCTTGACTGCAGCATACCTCATCAATCGGATGCCTTCTCGTGTCCTAAATTTTCAATCTCCTTTATCTTGTCTTACTCACACATTTCCTTCTTTCCGGGCTCATTCTTCCCTTCCTCCCAAGTTGTTTGGCTGTGTGGCTTTTGTACATGTTCCTCCCCATCAAAGGTCCAAGCTCGATCCTAAGTCCATTAAATGTGTCTTCATAGGATATCCTCCTAACCAAAAGGGCTACAAGTGTTACTCATCTTCACTTCGTAAGGTCTTTGTTTCTATGGATGTCACATTTGATGAGAGACAATCTTTTTTTCCTTCGACTTCTCTTCAGGGGGAGTCTATTGGGGTTGATGAAGATAAGTCTTGGAAACCAAATGATTCTGTTGTTTTGCCTTTGGAGACAGGGGGAGTCATTATGCAAAAGACAGGGGGAGTTAACGTGTCAGATAATGGTGATCCTCTCGGGAAATGGAGAAAGTTTTACAGCAGGCGAGAATCACCTCAGGAGCCTCTAGACTGCCAGGATTCTGACTCGAGTCTTAGTTCCAGCAACACTAATACAGCCAACCTAGATGTGCCTATTGCTCTCCGAAAAGGTACTAGATCTTGTACTGCTCATCCTATTTCTCATCATATCACATATGAAAAGTTGTCCCCAGGTTTTCGTGCTTTCAACACTATGTTAGACAGTACAAAAATACCAAAAAATATCCAAGAAGCACTTGATGATCCAAAATGGAGGAATGCAGTCTTTGAAGAAATGGATGCACTCAACAAAAATGGAACTTGGGAGTCTATAGCATTACCCAGAGGAAAGAAAACAGTAGGTTGCAAGTGGGTGTTCACAACAAAGTTTAATGCAGATAACAGCATCAACAAGTATAAGGCCAGACTGGTTGCTACGGGATTCACTCAAACTCATGGGATAGACTATCAAGAGACATTTGCCCCTGTTGCCAAGCTTAACACTATCCGAGTTCTTTTATCACTTGCTGCAAATCTTGGTTGGCCCTTGCAACAATTAGATGTAAAGAATGTTTTCTTGAATGGTGATCTACATGAAGAAGTTTATATGGATCCACCACCTGGTTTTGAAAAAGGAGACGATTCAGTATGCAAGTTGAAAAAGTCTCTCCATGGTCTTAAACAATCTCCTAGAGAGTGGTTTGAGAAGTTTACTCAAGCTGTTAAGGGAAGAGGATTCCTCCAAGCTCAAACTGATCACACTTTATTTTTAAAACACTCTAATGGTGGTAAAATTGTTATTCTCATTGTTTATGTTGATGACATAATTGTCACAGGTAATGATTGTGAGGAGATAAGCTCTTTGAAGAAATGTTTAGCTAATCAGTTTGAACTGAAGGATCTTGGATCTCTCAAATATTTCCTAGGCATGGAAGTTGTTCGAAGTAAGGCAGGAATTTCTTTAACTCAGAAGAAATATATTCTAGACCTGTTACAAGAAACATGAATGCTTGGGTGCAAGCCAGCAGAGACTCCAGTTGAACCCAATATTAAATTGGGAATCGAAGATGGGAAAGAAGTTGACAAAGAGCAGTATCAGAGATTGGTGGGGAAGTTGATCTACTTATCTCACACTTGGCCTGATATTGCATTTGCAGTTAGCATGGTTAGTCAATTCATGCATTCTCCTAAGGAAAAACACCTGAGTGCAGTTTATAGAATTTTGAAGTATCTCAAAAACACCCCTGGTCGAGGATTGTTCTTTAAAAGGGGACACAAGAGGATGATTGAAATATATACAGATGCAGATTGGGCTGGCTCTGCATTGGACCGAAGATCCACTTCAGGATATTGCACCTATATTTGGGAAAATCTTGTGACCTGGAGAAGTAAGAAACAAACAGTTGTTGCCCGGAGCAGTGCAGAAACAGAATTTCGGGCTCTAGCCCATGGTATTTGTGAAGGAATTTGGTTAAGAAGACTCCTTGAGGACTTGAAGATCTCTTTTTCCCTACCTGTCAGAGTGTATTGTGATAATAAAGCTGCTGTCAGTATTGCTCAAAATCCAGTTCACCATGACAGAACAAAACATGTGGAGGTTGATCGCCACTTTATCAAAGAAAAAATAGATGATGGAAGTGTATGTATGGTGTATATTCCTACCAAAGAGCAGATTGCAGATATCCTCACTAAGGGCCTACACCTGCCAGCCTTTGAAGACTTGATTGGCAAGTTGGGAATGATCAACATTTACCTCCCAACTTGAGGGGGAGTGTAGAAAATCAGAATTCAAATTCAAATATCTTTCCGTTTTTATTTCCTATTAATTAGGAATAATTAAGATTAATTACGATTGATTGTTTTTTATTTCCTATTAATTAGGATTGATTGTTTTTTATTTCCTATTAATTAGGATTAATTGTAATTAATTAGAATTAATTGTGACTAGGTTTAGTGAGTCATAGCTGAGTCATTCTTATGATTGTGATTAGGTTTGGTGAGTCATAGCTGAGTCATGCTTAGCTATTTTTTCTTGTATAAATACTCCTCATTCCTCATGTAATTATTCAATATCGATATACTGAAAACCTTTTTCAATAAAAGACTCTTTACTATTGTCTGTCCGAAGAGTTTTTATGGAGGTGCCAAATTGGTTTTGAACCATGGCATGAATTTTTTTGAAAACTTGGACAGTCATTGAGAAGATAGACCCAGCACACTCGAGAATGGCCATCAATGAATGTTACAAACCATCTCGAGCTAGAAATATTTTTTACACGAGATAGACCCCATATATCACTGTGAACAAGAGTAAAAGGGGAGGATTCTTTATATTTCCTCATAGGATACGATATGATACGCGAGAGTGTTTTGCTAACTGACAGATGTCACAAGAAAAGACATTGGGTTTTTTATGGATAAAGAGATTTCTTAACAATTTTTGAAGGTAATTGAAATTTAGGTGCCCTAACCTACGGTGCCATAACATGACATCATCACTAGTATTGGAAACAAAGAAAGGATCCTTTTCAGCAAAAGTAGCTTGATTCTCCACACGATCAGATCCCAAAAAAATATAGAGTCCTCCTTCTTCTTTAGCACTGTCTATTTTCCTCTCCGATTCCTGTTTCTGAAAAACACAACCATGTATCGAAAATTTTGCAACACAACTAAGCTCTGTTGTCAGCTTACTAATAGAAATGAGTTTGCATGCTAAATTAGGAACATGTAGGACAAAATTTAACATAATCTTCACGGAGAGTTTAATTGACCATTTCCTGAAACTTGAGAAAAACTTCCATTTGCTATTTTGACCCGAGAATTCCCATAGCATGGATTATAGGAACAAAACAATGTTGGATTACCTGTCATGTGATCTGAGGCCCCAAAGTCAAGTATCCATCGAATACTACCATCAACATGAGACACATTACCTTGTTTAGCCACAAGGCTAGATGGTACACTGGGTTGAGGGCTCATAGATGTCGCCGATTTGATGGTGGTTGTGGTGGCTAAGCTTTCTCAAGACCAACCTGCTTTTGATACCATGTTGAAATATGAAAAAAAAAAAGGTTTTTTCTGAATTGATATATACTAACTTACACTGATAGGGGTATATATACAAGAGTAAATGAGAAAAAATGGATAAGAATGACTTAGCAATGAGTCATTAACCCTATCCTATCTAATCACTAATTAATAGGAAATAAAAGCGGAAAGATTCTAATCCTAATTTCCTACAATAAACATAGAAAGCCGTGAATTTTCCTGTTAATTCTGACATTGAAGGTGAGACCTGAGAGTATACTTTGCAATTTTCAGGAACATTTCCTGAAACTAAGGATGGAGAATGCAATGGGTTCGGCAACACCAACTGTCAAGCAGGTAGCAATTCATGGCGAATGGACATGTTAGACCTTTAAAATCTAATATTTTTGATTCATTCTTGTCTTGAGGTATACGGTTAATGAAAGTTAAGATATAAAGTTATTCACCTTTAGAAAGTTTATAGAGATACAGAAATTATGCAAATTCTAAAAAGAGATTCATTCAATAACTTATTTGGTCTAAGAGTTTCAAGAATTACAAAACTTGTGAACTTCACGTAAATTGTTTAAATTTTCTTTTTACATTCATGTTATAATGAGCTTCATTTTTTTATTTAAAAAAAGCTATTTTTACTGTGAAATTCTCGATAAAAAAATTGAATTATTTTGTTTGCATTGCGTTTATGTATATTTTTTACTGTTTACTAGGTTAGAACAAAGCAACCTTCCGTTTTCTCTTATGAAGATAATCTGTGTGTTCAAATTTTATTTTATTTTTTAGTAATTAGTTTTATGATTAGGATTGGATAGTTTACTGTGTATCTTAATTTTTACCCTGTTCACTTTTTTTTTTTTTTTTTTGTTGCTTATTTCATTCTGCTACATATTGATAAATTTCATCCTAATGATAGAGGTTGCCACTGTTTCAAGAGAAGAACTGATGGGTTCAACTTTTGTTTACTACTTAATGGTGGTGGTGCCACATATGCATAGGAAGTCTCCATCTCCAAAAAATTTCTTGATAAACATGTTTAGCGTTGCTAATGATCTATGCTTAGTCTTTTATATCAAAAGACAAAATTAAAATGAAAGTTTTTCTAACTTTGGCTTATTTATTTTCTTCTTTTAGATTTTTAATGGTTTTTTGTTTTGAAGCATCAAATTGTTTTCTCCATTTCCCAAGAATGTTTGCAATATCACTCACCCTTCCTCTTTTAGATTCATGTATTGTTTCTATTAGCTTAGTGCAGATAATTTTTTTTTTCTTGATAATTCTTTGGAGATGTGGGGGGAATTGTGCATGCATTTTATTTTTTTGGTAGCTTTGGGCATGTAAATCTTAGTCTTGGATGTGATTAACCTATCAACTGCTTTTGCAGATTTCTTATTTGAAAAAACTGGGTTGCACCATGATCCCTACATCCCGCCTCCATGCGTCTCATCTTATTGAGCAGTACAAATCATTGTAAGAATCAAGTGGTGGGGTCTTTCGTTTCTCCTATTAAGCCAATATATATTGAACTTTTTCTGTTAGAGTATATGGAAGGCCAAGCTAGTTTGTAACCTAGATGTATAAAATATTTTCAATTTAGTTTGCAAGGAAATTTTGGTTGAGTAAATAGATATATGGTGCTTTTTGAATTTTAATTATCTACTAAGGTTAAGTTTTTGCCAACATCTGTGTTATGGAACAATTATTTTCGTTAGTCATCAGTCATCACTAGTGTTTTCTTCCTGTGTATTTTGCAATTGAATAAAATCCAATTTGACAGTGTGTGCATGTTCTTTGAAATTTAGAAAGAGGTTATTTGAGAACTTCCTTATCTTGCTAAATATTGTCTACTTAATGTTTTGAGTAGAGAAGCTTCGGCTATAATTTCAAATATGTTATTACGTCTTTTCAATGGAATACTTTATTTTTTAATAGATAAAAGTGATTCTTCTGTGTCTATACTGCTAACAAAAATTAAGGGTTAATGTTGACACTTCTACCTTAAGCAAAGGTGGACAACCAAGTCTTGTGCAAGAAACAAAACCATTTTTTCTTGTTCAACTTTATCAGCTCGTTTAATCTTAATTATATTTCTAGACAAGGTCTTCATAATCAGTAAAAGATTTCGCAAAAATATCATTTTGTAAATTGCCCTTAGTTGGCTCAAGAAATTAAAGAAATTTAATCAAATCAACTCTTTAATCTAAATAATAATTCTGGTATGTATTTATATTCACGTATTCTTAACATATTTTCACGCGAGTTACTGTTTTAACTGTTATATTTTTTAATGATAAAGATTATGCGCATGCTTTTGTCTGGACCATATATTTTGTCAATCCATGTTGCGAATGTAAATGGAATTGTTACTTTTAGTTTCTTAGACAGAATTTCTGTTAGAGCATAGAAAATCGTGATACTTGAATTTGCATATCAATGAAAGTTTACATTGATGTATGTTGGGCTATGCAATTTAAGTTGTATTTGATGTATTATGCTGCTAAACTTTTTTTTAAGTTATTGCTACAGGGATGATGTCTATGTACCCAAAACAACTATAATTACATAAAACCAACAATAAGATGTCACGTCCAATACCAAATTCAGCATGGTATTGGACTACTTGAAATACATAATGACGATAAAAATCAAAATAATCCCCAATAAACATTCGCAGCATTTGTCTCCTACCGTAGTTTTCCAAGCAGAGAACCTTCCTACCAAGGTTTAGGGTTAGTAAATCCATTTTGCCTGAATCCTAAAGCAGGAAACTCTAAGCACAATATACTGTTTTTCTAAATCCAAGAGTTGAACTTGTAGAAACAAGCGAAAAATAACAAAATCTATGCGCAATATAGGTTATCCAAGAAATTATGTACCAGCCCTTCCAAAAAATCTTTCTGAAACTTCTTTACCTATCTCTTCAGCAACCTGCACCAGATATGTATGAAGTTGAATGAGGAACATTAGGAAGCAGAAACGGAAACAGGAGAGATAAACAATTTTTTTGAAACATAACATAGTTTCATCCACTAGTTCTAATAAGAGAAAATACTTAGCAGTACAGAATTCAACAATATTTCAAGCTGCTAAGACTCAACAACTTTAATTTGCATATTTAATTTAGAGTTCCACCATTACCTACAATAGCAGGCATACAAGCATAAATTATCAAATATTGTGTCCAATATTGCAATACATTCTGAAATGAAAAAAGAAAAAGAAAAAGCGGACATGCATATACAAGACTAATTTATTGATATCGTTCTCTTCATTTCTCTTTCTTTTTTATTGGGCTAGGAATATGGATATTCCAATATAGTGCAACCTCAAACAAGTAATTATTCTCACCCCTTTCTTCTGCTTTTCTAAATTCTAACCATCCTTCGCACCTTTAATTGTTTGGATCGTTATTTAGGAATGATTCAAGAATTTAAAAAGTTATTAATGATGAAGTAATTAAAGTAACTGATGGAGCATTTAATCTTAATGGTAACAGATTACTTTCTGTTATTTAGGAATCACTTTGGTTATTTGATTGAAACGATATAATCACTAAATTAATGATCGAAGATTATATTGTTAGACGACATAGTTGCTTAGTCCATTTTTATTTAGACGGTATTCAGTTTGGTATTTATAATTTTTCAAATTTCTCCTATATTTCTTGTAGAAGTAGTTTTTTTTTTGTGATTAAATCAAATAAACCATACCCTTGTGATCTTATTTTTCATTTTTGTGACATTTTTGACAAAAAATAATAAAATATTTTTTTTCGCTGGTAGTAATAAATTATGACAATAATTTATAATATGTAAAATAGATTTATTCCTAACATTTATTTGTCAGATTCATATAATAATCAAAGAAGAGATTGTATTTAAAAAGCATCGTAAGTGGGTAATTGTCGCTTGGGAATAGAATTTTCTAGTAGTAATTGAATATTGTTATTGATTTGATATGTAAATTCAATTAACACAAAAACATAACGCATAACAAAAATCGTAATTTGATTTCATCAAGCATTGTTGGCATTTGGTAAAAAATGGAGGAAAAACAAAAAGATTTTTTTTAACCCTGGTTAAAAATGTGTCAAAAATCATGCGAAACATATATCGAAAACAAGTCATTCTCTAATAAAGGGTCAACGGTGATTTCAATATCATAATATGCAAGATTTATACGAGGCAAATCATAGTTGATCAGTATTTACAGTATATTTCTAAATATGAGATCCAAGATAACAAAGAAAATCGTCATAATCAAAATATAATACTGGGAGTTAACAAAACCACATGGGTATTCGTCATAATCCGATAACGAAAGTAAGGGTAATACTGAATAATGGGGGTAACTCTTTAATTTGTAGTGGCATTTGGGAAAACCTCTTGCTTGTTCTTGAGACTACTTCAACGGTAAAGAATTGGTAATAGAAAACTTATAACACTTGTGCATTATAATGCCAGCAATTGAGCAGTTTTTTTTTGGCATCATCAACTCCAGAATGAGCATGACCCTTCTATTCCAATCCAGCTATTTCAACAACTTTCTTTAAATTGCATCTCATATCACCAACTACCTCGTGGAGAGGAACCCTTAAATTGATCCACCGGTTGAAATAAGTAGGCTTTGGCATCTTTTTGAATTTGCACTCAGAGTACTACCTGTTAGACCACATGACAACACTAAAGTTGGAGTTCTTTATCCCATTGATTTCAAGTCATCATGCATGCATGAGTAGAGCCTCATCTAATGTAATTCTATTGTCCACTTGATTTTGTTATATACCAGTCAATTCCGTGCAGAAATCAGTCAGAATTTGATTATGGGTAGGCCTCACATATGTTCGGAAGCATGCTTCAACTTGGCCAATGAAGTCATTCACTATGACTGATGGAAACTCAATTATCTATTGAGGTGAAAAATTTTGTCATTTTCGCAGGTAGCCTCAAAGTCTATGACCACAAAATAATCAAATACCTGAGAAACCTTGAGGTGGTGTTTGGTTTGGGTATCTAAAAAGATGCCTATGCAAGTGAAAGTGGCAATATTAAACACCCATGTTTGGTAACTGGTTTCTTTCCATTTTCCCATCTATTAGATTTGCATAGCTTTCATCATTTAGTAGTAGAAAGCAAGCATTTTTCACTGTTACAAAAGACAAATTGCATGTAGTATTTCATACTTAGCCAGGGAAATGAAGGACCAGGCAAATGGCATCAGACCATAATACTCTCATCACTCCAATTCCTGTTTCCTTTATTATGTCGTCCAACTGTGATGATATCAGTTTGGCACTTTGGCACAGCTTGTTAAAAGAGGTTATGAAACCGAGCAAATTCTTAGAAAAATTTTAGGGACCAGAAGACGTGTCTTTGTCAAAAAAAAGTAAGATAAAGCTAATGATATAAAAAGAAATAAAAGTTATCCCCTAAAATTGAGAAGACGCTTCTTGCATAAGAAGTGTTTTCTCATGTGTCTCTTCGATTTACGTGTAAAACTTTTTTTTTTTCAATAAGTGTGGGACTCACAACTAGTTGAGTCACAACATTACTCTATCATTAAATTTGTCATGGTTGAATTATGAATAAATAATTGAGATCTTTCACGTTTTATAATCATATTAAAAAAAAAGACATTAGATTATTCATTTTTTATAGTATTTTTTTTGGATATTCATTTTTTATAGTATTAATCATTTAAAAAAATTAACCAAATTAATACATCACCGTTGAAGAAGTCTCCTCTGTTTGAATTGGCCAACAATGAGATTGAAGAAGGAGATGATGGAAACCCTTTATGTGCACTGAGACAAAATTGAGAAATCTAATTCCTCACAATTCAAATAGACTGGTTTGGTGAATGAATTGCAAGTTACAATCCTATTCCGAAAAAAAATCACCTCTTTTTTTTTTCTACCAGCCTTAATTACTTCTACGAAGCAAGTAAGTTTCCCCAAATATTTTCATAAATTTCAACTTTTTCAACCAGCAGACTAATACCGAATATGCGACATTATTAAGGTTTTATGCATCTCTTTCTCTTGCTTTCCTAAATTCTAACCATCCCACATCCCACCCACCTTTATTGTTTGGATGGTTACTAAATTAATTATCGAAGATTATATTATTACGTGATATAATCGCAACGTCCATCTAATTTAGACGGTATTAGGATTTGGTATTTGTAATTTTCAAATTTTCACTTATACGATTTTGATATTTCTTGTAGAAGTAGTTTGCTTTGAGTAACTCAAATAAATTATACGCTTGCGATCTTATTATCTTTTACGTAATTTTTTTGATATTTTTGACGGAAAAATAATAAAATAATTTTTTCTTTGGTAGGAATAAAATATGACATTGGTTTTTAATATATAATATTTAAATAATCAAAGAAGATATTATATTTAAAAAGCATTGCTTGTGAATAGAATTTTCAAGTAGTAATTGAATATTGTTGTTGATTTAATAAGTAAATTCAATTAACACAAAACATAATGCATAAAAAAATAGTAATTTGATTTCAACGAATATGGTTATATAAAATTCTTATTAATAGCTTATCCGTTTTATTGTTGCCATTTGGAAAACGCATGCTGGAAAAATCAAAAGATTTTATTTTTCTGACCAGTGGGTAAAATTGTGTCAACGGTGATTTCAATATCGTAGTATGCAAGATTTTATACAAGGCATATTACATATGATCAGTGTAAAACCCAATAAAAAAAATGGAATAAAAATAAAACAGAGAGAAAAGAGCATGTTGATTATATGGAAAGTCAACGGCAACAATAATTTTCGTTCATGAGATTCAAGATATTAAGGCAAATCATCATAATCAAAATTTAATACTTGGATTGAACATAACCACAGGGTAACCCCACAATGAAAGTAAAGGGATACTACCATTGGGGTAATCATCATACCCTTTAATTTGTACTGGCATTCAGAAAAAGCTCTTGCATGTTCTTCATATTGCTTACATGGCAAATAATTGGTAATGGAAAATCTATAGCCCTTGTGCATTATTAATGCCAACAATCGAACAGTGTTTTTGGCATCATCAAGTCCAGAATGAGCGCGATCCTCCTGTTCCAATCCAGCTATCTCAACAGCATTCTTTAGATTGCACCTCATATCACCAAATACGTTACGAAAAGGAACCCTTAAGTTGATCCACTGGTTGAAATAAGCAGGTTTTGCTATCTTTTTGAATTTGCACTCAAATTCGAGCATTACCTTACAATCGCAATTAGACCACGTGACTACACCAAAGTTTGAGTTCTTTATCCCATTGGTTTCAAGCCATTCATCATGCATGAGTAGAGCCTCATCTAATGTAACTCCATTATCCACCTGATCTTGTTGGATACCAGTCAAGTCCTTGCAGAAATCAGTCAGAATTTGATTATGAGTAGGCCTTACATATGTCCGAAAACATGCTTCAATTTGGCCAGTAACACCACTGACTATGACTGATGGAAACTCAATTATCTCTTGAGGATGGAGATTTTCATCCTTATCGCAGGTAGCCTCAAAGTCTATAACCACAAAATAATCAAATAGGTGAGGAACCTTATAAAAGCTTGGATGATAGGTTGTCCTGGTGCTGTGGTCTTTAAAAGACTCGAGAAACTTACTGCCGAAACGAGGTCCGCGTCTAATTTTTGTGAACACTTCCACAGAACTCTCCTCTCGCTGAAATTTGCCACGAAATTGCTTCCTCTGGAGACGTTTTCGGGGTGGTTCACATCGCTCCATATTTTCAAGAGAGAGAAAATAGATTGAATAACGGGGGTTTATAGATATGAGTATGGCAGTCAATAGCCCAATCCTATTTATAGAGATAGATAATCAAATAATGAAACCGAGAATATCTTGAAGATTTTCTAAGATAATAGAAACTTTTAAAAACGAAAACAAATTATAAAATATGAAAATATAGAAACCAATCTTAAAAGATCTTTTAGGATATTCTAGATTATTGTTTTTTTCCGGTAAACTATACTAAATTATGTAAATATATAATTAAAGCATCCTTAAATTATTTTAATATAAAGAAGACAATGTTTTATCTTTTATATTTAGATTATAAGAATAAAGATAAAGTCAAATTTAAAAATATCTTAAAATTAAGATAAATCTGAAGATGTATAAAAATTCAAAAGTTTTCTCCTAAAATTAAGAAAAATAATAATCACAATCAATTAGTATAAAATTCTAAAGATAAATAAATGATTGCAATAAAATCAGTATAATAAATAAAGGAAAAACTATTATAAGAAACTCCTCAATTAATTAAATTCAAAACATATTCAAATCCTGGGCAACAATGATAAAAACATCCTTTATCAACTCTTGGTGGCAGACTCTACCTTGTTTGACCTTTTCAAAAAAAATAAAAAAAAATAAGACTAAAGATAAAGTTAATGATAAAAATATCCTAAAATTAAGATAAAGCTAAAGTTAAGGAAGGTGTCAAAAGATAAAAAAGAAATTAAAAAATAAGATTAACTGACGTAAAATCTTAATGATGAAGAAATAATTATAATTAAATCAATATAATAAATAAAGGAAAGCTTATTATAAAAAACTTCATGATTAATAAAATTTAAAATACATTCAAATTTTATCTTTTAAAAAATGTCAAATATTTTGAAGTGGGTTATGTTCAATGGGGTATAAATTTGATTTAGATATATAAATTTCAAATCATCTATTAAATGCTTCTTTAAATTTTTTTACCCAAACTCTCATAATTATACCAACTTAATATTTGAACTAAATTCCTTAATAACTTACCCCTTTCACATCATAATCGTCTATGTTGCACGAACACGTCACTTTTTTCTAAAAAATATGTGTTGGACTTGTGTCGAACACCGTATGCGGTTAATATTTTGGAACACGCGGTCAACATTCATGCAGATCCAAAATTTATTATATTTTATCTTTTTAAGTAAACTTGAAAAATGAATTTATAAATTAAATATTTTCTTTTATAAAACTTGAATATTTGATTGGTTATAGCAATTCTATCAATATCCAATAATTAATTAAATTTTTTTATTCAATCTTATAAAATTTGACTTATTATGAACTGCTATATATATTAAATATAAACTATATTATATATATTTAAAATATTATTTAATATCAAAAGTGTCATAAATTATCGAAACCTAATATTTTTTAGAATTAACATATTAGAGTATCGTATCATGTCTCGTATCGGTATTGGTGCAATGTAGATCAGTACATCATCATTACTGCAATAATCTAACCACAAAGCAATCACGTGATAGATTATCATCTTATACAATATGCATTGATCACTGTCCAAATGGGGTGAGGATTCTCAAAATAAATACTAATCTATATATAAAATATGGTTACTTGTACAATGGATACATTAAGAATCTTCTATTTTGATTAAGGATTTTGGAGGTTAGTAACAAGGCATTCCTCCTACGACTTTATTATGTACCCCTTTGCCTATGCTTGTAACACTAGCTAGTCCATCTCATTCAAACAATGGTTGGTTCTGTGGGTGGTGATTCAAGAAATCAACGTCTCCACCATCCGTGATTTAAAATGGAGCAGGACATTTAAAGTGGAGGAATCGTGCCAAGCAAGACTCAAACTATCCACATGTGGAAAAATAAGTGCCAGGTAGGAAATTTAATGTCCATTAACCCAAAAAATAAAAAAATTGTGATTAATATAAATAAGATAAATAGAGTGAGAGATGTTATGAGCTTAATCTTTTAAGGACTAATATGAAGTTAAATATTTTTAAAACGAAAATAGTAGTTTTCATTGTAGTTAAAAAGTGATGTTGATGTATATTACTCCATTTTATCGTAATGAGTTATATTATCAATAATATTTTACTAATTGAAACTTGTTATAAGGTAGTACAATTGACATTATCAGATCATATTATTTTTTCCCACTTAATCAGAAAGGCTTTAAAAACACCTGAACAGTGAGATCACCTTCATTAACAATCAATAATAAACGTGGTGAACCAATGATGAAATTAATGTAGAATCCTGTTCCCTTTTAATTAAAAAATAACCAACTTGTAGTTGGCATAGCTAAGTTACCCCCTTCAAACCCAAAAAACAATGTCAAAGCCCCGGAATAGATTCAAGATTGTATTTTTCTGAAGATGATTCAGTATCCCTTCTCTCTTGTAATTTTGGCTTCGCCATACCATCAAGAGCTTGCAGGTATGTGTAAGAAGCAGTCCGATTAGATGGTGGGCTTGGATTGCTAATTCTGCTGGCAAGGAAGCGGCGGATCAGGCCCCTAAGAAATGGGGCCATAGTTTCTGGTTCATATTCCAAGTAATACATGATCCCTCCCATACAGAGAGAAAACAAGAAGACCTGTATCAGTTAAAAGCATAAAATGAGACTACTTCTACATTTGTCATATAAGGCTAGGCCATTATGACTCCTCAATCTCTCCTCCACCATAAAGGGCCTTAAACCCCATGAAAAAGGAAAACATGTATCGCAAATATGATTAGGTATGACAAAGGAAAAGACACAACTATAAGAGTGAATAAGGCAAGCATAAGTTACCCCCTGTGTGTGTACTAGCACTCCCATATGTCACATAATGGGAGAAATTAGTTCCTTTAACTGCCTAAATTTCTAGTTCTTAAATCCCCATTAATAAAATTCTCACATCCTCTGATTATATGAACGGATATATCATATTGGAACTAAAAGAAACATCAAAAGAGGCCTCAACAGAAAAACTGACTTTCATTTAGTTAGGTTGTGACTGGAGTCCTAAAATACATATTTTGTAGGACTTTTAAAAAAAAAAAAAATTCAGTGAAGAGTTTCTTTTAATTCAGGGTAAAGTAACTTGATGGCATACCTCAGCATTCCTAATATCTGGAAGCAGGTGCCTGTTCACCAAGATATACCATAATGAATCTACTGATCGGGGAAGAACATATAAAGCTAGCTCACCACGCCTTGCTTTTTTCTCCAATAGCACTGAAAGGGCAGATATTCCACCTGCTATCCAATATACAAGCTTGTGATCTCTTGAAGCAACTTTTCTATGTAAACATATGACTCCCTGCAAAACCAGAAAGACATTAGGAACATGAACAATACATTTATCTACTAGAGATGTAAAAAAAAAAATGAAAAATGATGATAATAATAAGAAACATAAACCTGAAAGATTCCAACAAAAGCAGACAAAAAGGCTGTTGAGCGAACAGCGCCTTTAATGGCCAACCAGAAAGTACGGAAAGGAGCATCAGTGAACTGAAAACATAATCTTCATCATCAGAAAAATTGTCCAAGATAGCAATGGCAGTTACAGAAGTAATGGCATCGCAGTGATAGAAGCAATGGTTGTGGCATTGGTGGATGCAGACCGAAGACAATGTGGGTACAATTAGTTATCAGAGTCATGATCTTATTCATAGCACAAAAACAACTCAATCTTAGCAAGACTTCGGTACAATAGTTATTTCATCCTTTAAATCATGTGCTGACATTGGACATATATAAAAAACTTCACATGAATTGATAATAGAAGAAGCTCGAGATTAAAAGGAAAAAATAGTAGAATTTTGACCCCTATAACTATAATGATCCAATTCATACTGCAGGAATTAAGGCACCATCACAAGTGCATTAGAATATTATGGAGATATGGAGATTGTGTGTAAAAAATTCACCATAAATAAGAAAATAAGGATCAGCATGGAACTTTTTAAAAATCTTTATTTTTTTGATACAATGGTGGCAATGATATTCGAACCTATAACTTCATGGAGACTACCTAAATCCCTCACTACTAGACCGATTCTAGTGGCTTAAAAAAAAACCATTTATTTAATTATACTTGTATATGAATTGCATGGAAAAGAAAAATAACAATTTCAAACCCAAATTTCCATTATGCACATGTGATGTAGATTAAGAGGGCGAAGCTAAAGCATTGGTAAAGATGTCTTTGAGTTATAAATGTCATTAAGAATACATATCTAATTATGATATATCAAGGATTTTTATTATCTTTGGGTAGTAAATACCCTTTTAAGTGTTTTACTAATTCGAACTTCTGCAAAATAAATTATTGACACTTCGTTTTCTTTAAAGAGTATTGGAAACTTTAGTGGGAGGAGCACTCAAGGTTTGTTTACTAGGATAATACCCTGCCAAAAGGAGTACTCTTGGATTGTTCTGCATCAGTATGAATTTTCTTTAAACTTAAACTATGATGGCTGTGACAAAATGATATATACAGTTAATTATATCAGAAATTGTCACAGGAAAAGAAAAAATAAATTAAATTATACTGAACCTAGCAACAAGCTATTTGATTGATTATGGTAATCTTCCAGAGTACTTAAAAGACACTTGTGACAAACACTTGCAAATTATGCACATGTTCCCTTCACATAAGAATGTTTTCTTGCTAATCTATGCAAGTTTTTTTATTCGCTTATATATAAGTAACACAAAGTTTGGTGAGAGAATACCTTCTGTAGGTGCAGAACAACAAACGGCACAAAGGTCAAAGAGAAGTAAAGTGGGAATGTTTTCTTAAACGTTGCTGATGTTGCATTTAGTTCGTGAGCTAAACATGAATTTGTTACTGGATGAATGATGGAACAAGGAATAATGGAGGGAAATTCTTCCAACTTTACATAGTCAGTTTTTCCCTTGTGAGATAAGTAAGCATGAAGCGAAGCAACATCAACTGGATGACCTCTACAG